GGTATTTAGCTAACCTTTTGGTATTTTAAGCTTCTAGCTACCAATTTGCAACTCTTAGCTAGGACTTTGCTCATCTTAACTTTTAGCTAACATACTGCTCAGTTATATTACAGTTATAGCTAAAATAATGTTATATTAGCTTGAATCTAACCTATTGATACATCAACTTTTAGCTATCCTTAATTAACTTTAGCTTTTCTCTAACACTTTACTGTTTTTAGCTAGTGTTTTTCTACTTAAGCAACTACCATTTTAATACTTTTAGCTAGCTTTTTGATCATGTAGCTATTAGTTCACCTTTGTTACATTTAGCTTTTAGCTAACATTGTATTTTTAAGTGTTATCTTGTGTTTTTCCACTTTTAGCTATTTGTTTCTATTTCTAGCCTTTAGCTAGTGTTTTATTCTTTGTAGCTTTTAGCTTGCTAGCTACCATTTTGCAATGTTTAACTATGACTCTGATACTTTGAACTTTGACCAAACATACTGACATTCTGACTGACAAGAAAATCTGTATGCCTCTTTTATGATTGTCCATTGTTGTTGTTGTTGTTGTTGTTGTTGTTGTTGTTGTCATGACTCTTTGTTTAAATCAGGTCTCTCTTGTAAATGAGTCCCCGAGGCTCAATGGGATTAACCTGTAGACAATTTAAATTTATTTAATATAAACTATTATATTTTGCTTTGTTATGTAATTGTGTGTGTATAAAGTAAGATGTAAACTTATGTATAAAGCTTTTGATTTTATTTATTTATTTTTTAGAAGGGGGGGGGCGCTTGTAAGCCCAACTAGGGTTTTAATGACCTCTCCTAAACATTTTATTAAACTTTTCTTTTGTGTGTGTTGATTCTTTTTGTGCAAACAAATAAACAAAATAAAAGGTTGAATGAATTTTAGCTATAACTTTAGCCGTTTGATACCTTGGTTAGCCTTTTGCTACTTCTATTAACCTACTATGCTACTATGTTTAGCTAGTGTTTTCCTCCTTTAGCTACTATCCCAGCTGTTGCTGAATTTAGATTTGAGCTAGCCCCTAGTTTTTGTTCTTCTTCTTAATTTTAAAGAATTACCTTTTGTTTTGCTACTTTACCTTTTGGACAGTGCTGTCTACTTCAGCTTTTACTTTTTAGGTAGCATGTTGCTACTTCTGGCTGTGCTTCTTAGCTGTTTTCCTTTTCAGCTGGTGTTCTGCTTTTTAGCTAGAACAACTTAGCTTCAGCTTCGTGTTCCCGTTGCAGTTACAGAAGACAACATGCTCTTTCTGCAGGCTCCACACAGTCCTGCTGTCAGCTCGTAGCAGATCTTGGCTGCTTTATATTTATTATTATTTTATATTATACTGTTTATATTAGGCCTCACCTGAAGGGACGTAGTCCTCATCTTCAACCGAGGAATATCCGTCAGAGTCGTAGTCGGAGTAGTTCATTGTGGAGAAATGTTTGAACGCAGACTCGGAGGGATGAGAAGCAACGGCCCCGCGGTGATATCCCCTATCAGCTTTGTTTGTTTGTTTGTTTGAAGGGTTTTACAACTTTAAAAACAAAATCAATGACTCGATGTTCTGCTTTTAATTCAGCTCTTTCCGTGTAATCAACCGCAACAAACTGTAGAAATGACGTCACATCCTGTCCGTTAAATTTCCCGTCCGATCGCAAACGAAGTTTGGATCAGATTAGGCCCTGACGGAATCTTTAAATAGATAAATAAACTATAATGTTACAAAATCAAATGGTGCCAATAAAGTAACGAAGTAGCATTGAAAATATTTTATCAATTGTACTAAAATGGTATAATTTATTTTGTAGCTTTACGGCGTCATCTAGTCACTAGGGAGCTCCCATAGATATAAACACATTGTTGTGTTTATATCTATGGGAGCTCCAGCCAGTGTATCTCTTGTGCTGGTCCCAAGCCCGGGTAAATAGTGAGGGTTGTGTCAGGAAGGGCATCCGATGTAAAACAATTTTGCCAAAACCATAATGCGAGTTCATTAAAGTGAAACCATATAGGATCGGTCGAGGCCCGGGTTGACAACAACCGCCACCAGTGCTGTTGACAAACGCTGCTGGCAGAAATTGAGCTACTGTTAGTCGAAGACCACGAGGAGGGAAATGTGTCTGGAGACAGAAGGAGAAAAGGAAAGTCATGAATGTAGGACTGAGGGTTGCAACTCTAAATGTGGGGACAATGACAGGCAAAGACAGAGAGCTGGCTGACATGATGCTGAGAAGGAAGGTATATACTGTACGTCCAAGAGAACAAGTGGAAGGGCAGTAAGGCTCGCAGCATTGCAGCAGGGTTTAAACTGCTTTACCATGGTGTGGATAGAAAAAGACATGGAGTAGAGGTGGTCCTGAAGGAGGAGTTGGCAAAGAATGTAGTAGAGGTGAAAAGAGTGTCAGATACAGTGATGTTCCTGCGTTAGCTGACCTCCTGCACAGGAGAGATCAGCTTTGTGCTGCAACAAGAACATTTGACTCAGACACAGATTGCAATTTCAACAACTGCTGAATAAATGTACAGCTTCCATCAAAGATGCAAAACATAATTATTTCTTATCTCAGACCACCAAAGATCTAAATGACCCTAAATGATTCTGGAAAACCATCAAATCTCTTTCCAGCAGTTCTCTTTCATCTGACCTGCCATCAAAACTTCTTGTTAACTTTGTTCCTGTGTCAAATGAGCACGAGATCCTGAACTGTTTCAACAGACAATTTGTTGTTGCTTCTAGTTCTTTATTTGACACAGTTACTAATGGAAAATCAGCCACTTCTACTTTAATCCAAACATCTACAAATCAAATCTCTCCTTCAAGTCAATCTTCAGTAAACCACGCCTTTTCATTTTCACCGTTCTCAGTTAGTGAGGTTAACAAATTGTTAAAAGGTCTAGACTAAAAAATCTGCAGGTCCTGATGAACTTCCATCTTAAGGCTGGCCGCTCAAATCATCACAGAAGCGGTGTCCCACATCTAGATTATCATTTAGAGTAGAGCTGTCATTTCTAACCCAAACCTGGAGCCTGGCCCCGCCTGACCCGGACCGGGCCGGACCATAATAATGTGCGGGCTGGGGTTGGTGTTGAGCTTTAGATTGCATCAGACGCACAGCTGATGATCCAATTATTTGCCAACATGGCCTGCCATACCATCACCAGCCACATGTGGCCCTTTGACCGCATGTTGACCGGCCTTGAAAGAGGTACAAAGTTCAGTTAAGCTTCAGATGGACTACTGCCAGAGATCCAATAGCCCAAATGGACGTTCATTCAGCTGCTGCGCTCAGCAGACATGCGCAGCCGACGACCCGAACAGGTGAGATCACAAAATATCCGACATGTCACAGCAGGATGCAGGCAGAAGCAGGGGAAGCATTTAATGCGCTTTGATGGCTCCTCAGCTCCGATCTTCTGCTCCCTTTACTCAGTCGCGTGTCCGCCAACCGTTAATAATAGTCGGTAGTATAAACAGTCAAAGCTTAGGGGGTCGGATTTGGACCTGTATTTACTGTTAATTTGTCGGATTGGGTAGGGTTCGGAAATTATGGCTACGGGCTGGGGCCGGGTCAGGTCGGATTTTTCGGACCCGAGTGCAACTCGACCTTAGAGCACTCGGCCATCTGACATGTATGCTTTCCAGTAAAGTGATGTGTAACTGGCTGTACAAAAAGTTAGTCCTCAGCATCTAAACAGTACGCTTTGAATGATTTTTCATTCTCGTCCCTGTCAGAAATCACTGGAACCCAGTTTGTCACTTTTAGTCATGCGTAAAGAAGATAATAACTCCCGTTGGTGAATGTGTGCTCTTTGGACAGGACCAGTTGGATACCAGATCTTAGAAGTGAACAAACTCATCAACTGATTTGGATGAGAGCAACAGAAAGATGTGAAAATGCCTCTGATTTCTATATTTCCAGAGCACTAGAACAAAATTATGACACCCGCACAGGAGCTCTGCTTATGACATGAAGTATCAGAAATCTTACATTCACCAGATTAGTCTCCCAGGAGGATTTCCAATTGTCCTTCATGTACTCCTAAAGTAGGTTAAAAAGTAGGTTAATAACTATGAAAATGTCTTACAAACAAAAGTTTGGTAAACCACTCACCCTGGTTTAAAGGGGCAATACGGTGCAATAGACAGCAAAGAGATCTGCTCGTACAGAGACGCAGCCATTACACTTTCTTCTTACAAATAACACATAATTACCTTTTCACAGTGTAATGTGTTTAGATGACAGGCCAGCTTCTCCATTGGAAGATGACCTAAATGACGAGTGATTAAGTCTAATTTTCACGTATTATTAAGGAGGTGACAGAATGGTTCTTTCCATTTGATGATGATGCAGTTGTGCAGACAGCTGATTAGCTGTGATCAAATATACAAATCGAGTTAATGTCCTGATGTCTCATTGCTGTGACACCTCACGATTTTTAAACTTAATGTCACTTTTTGTGTAACTTCTTCCTGTTAATATAATACTGAAACTATTATTTCATATTGATGATCTCTCCCAATCAAACATGTAGCTTTTGGTGGTTTTTCTTTAAATTTATTAACAGAAAATATCCAAAAGAAAATGTTTAAACATTCCAACATTAATATGAAAGTTACAGACATCTTGAACTGACCTTGAACACAGCAGCTATCACAAATGCCAATTAGTCAATATCTAGCAGCATCTTTAAAAAATACTCTTATGATGAGACGATAATCTAATCCAGTCATTTCAGACATTTGGTAAGTGCTGTTCATCGAATGAATTGAATGATTGATCAATAACAGATTTATGGTGTCCCTTTCTGCAGTGGCCTGCCTGGTAGTCTGTCAGTTTGTGAATTTTTGAAAGTTTGACTTGACATAACAGGGCTGATAAAAACATGAAAAGGTTGCTTGACGTATCTAACCAGGTGGAGTCGGGTCCTCTGGATGGATTCTTCTTATTGAAACGTTTCATCTTTTATTCAAAATAATTCTCCAGTCTGAGGAGCTGCAACAAACTCAGTCTTTTTTATTCATTCAAACTTTATTTCTACAGGTTAGTCTCAGTCCAAGAGCAGTGTGGTGGTTTAGTGTGTTGCTCAAGGACACTTTGGCAGGGGTTCAAACATTGGAGAGCAATGCCCTTAATACTAAGCTTTGGATGATTCAATTAAGTTTAAATAAATCTGGATTTTTCATAAAACTCTGTTCATGTTTGGTTCTGAGAGGAGTTTTACAGACGAGCCTGGAGGACAGAGGACGAGCCTGAAGGACAGAGGGCGAGC